CAACATTGTCGTCCTTCTAATATTCGTCAGTTGGGGCTATAAATTTGAAGCCATTATTGGAGGCGACTCGGGAAAATAAAAACCGATCGAGAGAAATGCCGACATCTAGCTGAGGAGGGGCATTACACCAACATCGTCATATTTTTCGTAATTTTGGCATCCATGATGTTATCAGAGGAACGTAAAGTTCATGGTTATTTTTAACTGTGCTACTATTCGAATGAATTAAAATGTGGCATGCTGGTTACGTCAAACCTCAGGGACTAAAAGTTTAAAAGCAGTGCCTACCACCTGCAATCTTGAATATTGTGCAACGTCATAAGTGAGAACTGGCACAAAAATATAATTGTAACCTAGCTTGTCGTAATAGATATTTTTTCAATACTGGCAGCAAATACATTGACTAAACATCTAAGGAGATGAAAAAGATATCATCTTTTAGACGAAAACACGATAAATTTCATGTTTTCCTTACATCTTTATGAGTCAGACATCAATGAGCTGATGGTTTAACAGGTAGTGAGAAAACAAGCGAGTCTTAACTTCCAACATTTCAGTATATTACAAGGCGTATTTATTACTTCTCAATTCCACATTGTATTTATTACAGATGAATGGAAATTCTTCAAGCGACATTGAAAATATCTCCTGAGATCTTTGCCAGCAAACTGATCACATATACTATCGATTATGTTTGAAATACATTTCAAAATTTGTGCCGGGCGAGCTTATTTACGAGAGTGAAACTCTAAGGCGATACTTTCGGTACTAAAAATCGAGATTTGTGGTAAACTCCGAGGTAAGAACATTGATTTGTGAGGAAGGGAATGTCTTCCCCCTCCCCCAAACCTTGACATACAAAATTATTACACCGGTACTTTGTCCTCCCAGTTTGTCGCTCACGTGTGAATGGCACATAAAAAGTGAAAGGGAGTGTTCTTTCGATCGACGTTTGAATTTCTTCAGTAGCTTCCTAGGTGCCATGATCACGGCCCTAAGCATCACTGATGAATCTTAGAAGGACAAATCAGCTGTTCTTTGTAGTTAAATTTATCATATGGCTCCATTACATTTGATTCTAAATTTGCATTGATAGATGTGATTCATTCTGCACCCTGTGATCTTATTTAAAGTGTTATGCTATACTGTCCAGTATGATAACACTTTCTGTATTAACGGTTCCGTCAGTGACCCCATCATCATCCGCGGACACCGTTTTCGAATGACCATACCTATTGCTAGAACATACCACTCCAAACAAACGTATGCACATTAAGTTCTACTCTTCTTCGATTCTTAAGTATGCTAACAGTCTTGAAAACACACTCTTTAATCTCTTAAATCAAGAAATCACGCAAAGATTTTACCACTTTCGGCATCACTTTAGAATATGCCGTATAAAGGATTTTTTATGCTGATAATGTGATTAATAACGAAACCAGATGACAGTGTTAAAATAAATAATTTTCATTAAAACATTTATTTTTTGTATTTATCGCACGGTAAGGCTAAATTCAGAGTTAGTTAATCCAATATGTTGAGGATTCGCTTTTTCGAGAAAAAATAACATGAAGATAATGAATACACCTGAAATGGCACCAAAAAGAAAGTAAAAAGAATTGACGACCGGCAAAGGGAAGAGAAGGTTGTAAAGAACAGCTACACAGTTACAGATCCAATGTGTTGTGACGGCTATAGTTGATGGATTTTGATCCTTAGTCTTAATGGCGACAGCACCGTATGTTATTCATATTATTATAGGATTTCTCAAACTGAAATATCACGGATCAGAAAACATTTATTTGGTGTTGTTCTTTGATTTCCAGATTTATGGAAATAATGAATTTTATTTAATTTTTGGGCTGGTGCACCATCCCATCTACATTTTGACAATTTGGGATCACTCTTGGGTTTCTTCGGATGCCTCCTATTGTTCTAGTCACTTAGCATCTTTTTGCAGTCTTTAAAGAACGATGATGCAGTTTAATTCCTTTGCTAGCTCTACTGTTTCGACTTTGAATTAGAATTAAATGGTGCTATCACTGATGATTCTTTGTACAGTCTTGTACATGACTGTGTCTATATCTGGTAAGAACGAACTGAGCTTACATAGCCCAGTCCTCATCCATATTTCCATTTTATGTTTTCTCTTTATGACATTTGTTTCGACGGATGGGTGACTTGAGTTACGCTGCAGGACGTATTGTGCTCTTGGACTGGCGCATCGTCACTATTGTCATTAGGTTTTCATGAGGAATTGGATATTTCGTTAGGAACAGCTTAGGTCTGAGCAAATGGAGGGGATATCCCAACTCAGGACATGGTGAAAGCTGATTGAAGGAGACTGACAAACATTGGTCTCCTTAGATAGGTAAAACTCAGTTTAGGCCCATTAGCATCACTGGCGAGTCCTTAAAGGACAAAACAGTTGTATGATTCAGTTTCATTCAATGTTTGGCTCTATTGTATCTAATTATAGATTTGTGTTAGATGGTGTTATTAACTTGTGTGTCTTTTGTACAATATTAAAGCTGGTTTTCGAAATTGTTACTGTTTCCGGATTTTGATAAACGCGTTATCGTTTTGTTATAGTGCCAGTTTTGTATGTAAATAAATAAGAAAGAAATACTTTAATTGCTGTCATGAACATGCCCTAAGCTTCTAATTGAGTCGTCTTTTATGCAGTCAGTTGTTGTGTAGCCCATGTTTTGTAATTGTTTATTTTATACCCGAAATAGACGTAAATATTTGTAATTAGTACATACTTGTACACTTTAAGACCATTGGCTATTGATACTTGTACATAGTTTTTGTACTCTACGGTGTATACAGTTCTTGTCGATTAAAATAAGAAAGAACATCACACGAAACCTTTGCCATCTTGAATGAGGTTGATGGTATGACAAATGATATATCTCAAAAATGTTGTTTTAGTCAATGCAGCAATCCCACAAGTGAAAATAAAATCGTGTTCGAAATATCTACGAATGGCGATAGGTTTTCCTGCCTGAAAACAGTTCTGTATCATTAATCTTTTACAAATCAAAGTATTTTCAATTGAAAAAAAAATAAAAAGGCTGTAATATGTCCCAATACTTAGGCAATACATAATACGTTTTTCAAGTACACCAAAGCGTAATGGTGAACAAAAATGTTGAAGAGTTTATGAAATATTCTACTTATCGTTAATGTGAATGTAATTATTTTCAGTGATGAGACTACGTGAACCAGACCACTACATCAAATCTAATATACAGAACATATTACCAGGTAAATGTGAAGAAGAAAACGCATCGTTGGAATTATAGAATCTACACAAGATTTATAAATCGAACGTGTTGCTTTGTTGATTAATTTACATGATTTCAGCATTCCAAATTACTTCATTAAATTCTCATTGTTATCTGAAATGAAGTAGGGGTACACTTGTAACACAGCACGTCAAAGACATGCTATGGTAATTTAATATGTAAGACCCTTGTGGTGCAATGTAATGGCAAACGTCAAGAAAGCCATTGGGCTGAAATTGATCATCACAAAAATATCAAAGATTGCCTATTTATATTTACAAGAGACACCAAATAAATACCTGTTTGATTCTTTAGATCTCGAAATAAGGTTATTGATTTAACACCTACTCCATTACACAAATTTGTATTCCCATGTGGTGACCATCGGTCTTGGTGCGCGACTATAGAAAGGGTGTGTAATTGAAGTTTCACTTAATATTGTGAGCAGTTGAAAATAGTTGCTAGCAGATGATACGGTTTCCAAAGTCACGATTTTATAATTAGTGGTTTGCTAAGGGAGTGTAAATGTTGACTACAAGCAACAATATGGTCATATAAGCCTCCTTGCGATAGTGCGGAACTGGAGTCAACTTTTAGAGTGCTATCACGCTTAGATATACTGCCGCTTGCTCCAAGCAGGAAACACTACTCGGTAACATTATACTTAAGATCGGATAAACCTGTCGTTATTTTACCCAAAGCGTTTTGGTTATTTTATCATATAAATTATCATGCATAATGGTATGGTGGCTGATTCGGGACATCGTAATATCGCTTCGTTTAATGGGAAGCGAGATTGCGATATCACGATACCACGATGTGATATCACGATATCACGATGCGTTATCACGATAACACGATGCGCTATCGTGGTCTCGCATCGCGCTATCGTGTTATCGCTTCTTGCTATCGTGATATCGCATCGTGATATCGTGATATCGCAATCTCGCTTCCTATTAAACGAAGCGATATTACGATGTCCCGAATCAGCCACCATATAACGGGGACTTTGTGTGATGCAACATATTCTTATGTATATGTTGTTTTGCCGTTCATTTGGGAACGTGGCATCACTTACTTGAATTGATTGATATTTGCATAATGGGCATCGTCGATGAATAAGAAGACGCTTACCTTCCGTAACACCTGGTCTCATTTTTTATATTCTGTGGGGTTTCTTTATAAGTCTTTTATTCACATTTTCACTGTTAAGATATATCGGTATTTTCTGTATAGTTTTTGCTGTAATGCAAGTTTTGTTTAGAAACTGCTAAATCGCTGACGATATCATGTCATGCTCTAAAATCAAAATAAAATTGTGTAATTACATTGAAAAGTTTTATTTCGGTCTTTTACATCAGAAGAACTTACATCGATTTTTTGTAGTGTGATACTTGTGAAAGATAACGAGCCAATCATAAATAAACACCATAACAGCAAATGTTTACGAAAATTTTGTCACTGAATTGTAGAAATCACTCGTTGTGGTTGAAAACATCAGAAAACAGACAAGAAACGCATCTCATCTTTGTTGGATTTGAATTTGAACTCAATTAAATTTCATTATAGGGCTTAAATTAGTTTTATATTCACACCTGATGAGAAATTAAAGTTTTAACTGCATGACACAAACATTTTGTATAAAAATAATACATGTAGTTGTGTGATAATGACATCACGTCATCAAGTCAGCACATGCACCATTCTGTCTCATTTCCTTCTCCCGTAACAAGCCACTAGATTCACGAGACATTGGATGTGACCCCTCTTCCGGACCTTGACGTGTTCCATTCTGGTTTTTAGATTATCCATCATGCGCAGTAAGGTATCTTCTTCATCTTGAATAAGTGCTAATTGCCGGTACGCATATGCGGCGTCACGCAGTCCCCCTCTTCCTCCCACCTCCATCATTTCGCCATCACCTGTCTGAAACACACAAAGTACCGTGTAATTAATGAAAAGTTTTCCGATATAAAAACAGGGCTAAGATGATTTATACAAAACGTAATAGGGAAGGTATTTAATTATATGCATCTGGCGAAATTGTGAATTAAGAAACCTCTAACTTTACCCTGCAATTGTAATTCCATGGTATCAAACCCCCTCCCTCCTTCTAGGCAAAGATATTTGCTAAGATTTCTATAGTTTATTTAGAAAAATCACATGCTTGAGCAAAATTTGTTTAATTTTATTATCCTTAGTCCCTAGTTGTTTGAAAGTTTGTAGAATTTAATTCTTTACATCAATTTCTATATTTCAGAATACCTGCCAAGATAATGTACTTTATAATCACGTGACATGATTCTCAGGTTCGAAGGCCGAGAAACGGACCAGACTGTGATATTGTGATTTTGTCCTTGGGCATGTCACTTTTTTTAACCTAATGACTCTGGAATTCTATGTTACCATGGTAACCACCTGCTTCTCAAAGGAGACACAATTACAAAAAAACAATGACTATAGCAAATGAACATCTAAAACATAATTTTCAAATTTCTTGTGCGAAACTATGTTGAACGTGTTGCATGCTTATTAGTATGTCTGGTGGTATCGTCGTTGTTATCCTTGTTCTCATTTGGGAACGTGACATTACTTTCTTGAAAGATTCATGTGACAAATGCCATCAAAGAAACAGAAGACGAGTAGCCTTCAGGAACATGTATTAATTTTCTTTTTGTACTTTTTTGGGGATTGCCGAATATCTTTTGTTCCTATTTGAACCCATTTTCTTCGAATATGGGTTTCAATTAAGTTTCAGTTGACAGGTCAGTACTGTCAATTGTTTTAAAGAAAAGAGATGTAGTCCTTCATTCATAAATCTTAATTTTACGAAAGCATTTTTTGTTAACTATTCCTTTTTTTAAACATTGAGATGTTTGTATATGTTATAGATTTTTCGTCCAACGCGATAACAATCTATAATATTAAGAAGCATGTCTGCCATAACAAATAAGCGCATTATGTGATATTGATGATGATAAAGATTAAGTTTATATTATTCATAGCTAGATCGAAACTTTGCGTGTTAAATACAGGGGAAATGAAAATCTGTGTCACCTTATATTGATAAGTCTACACACTTATTAACAGTCGACATGATAAGTCGATAATTAAACAATACACACAGAAAATGATAATAAGCATATTGATATTAGATTAAATAAAAGGATCGCAGCCAATCCAGCTGTACAAATGATACACAAGTAAATAGCACCTTTAAATACAAATTATGAGTTAGATACAGTAGAGCAAGACAGTTATTTAAACTATATCAAACGGCTGTTTCGTCATTCTAGAACTCGTCAGGGATTCTTTTGAAGCCTATGAGGCGACTGGGAAAGATCCAAAGTAATCGAAAAAGTCAGAAGGGACACTAACCCGGTAAACCAATAAATTTCGTGATTTCAGAATATTTGATAATGAAGTTTATTCAGATATTGTTTAAGCTATCAAAACCTTTCATTGTTAAGTTTGAGAAGCTTCCATAAATTTACATGTTTAAATAAAAGTAAACTAATAATTCAAAAGAGGAAGGAGAGAAAAATATGATGAATGATGATCGAATGTATGCTAGTTATGGTAAAGATTGATTGTACGTTGTGTTCTTTTTTATTTGTATCAAATATATGATTTCGAAAAAAAATTTTTCTAATGCAAGCACAAAAACAGCAACTGCAAGCGGTACTTACACCTGGAAGGAAAAACAAACAGTTTGATGATCGTGTGCTCATGAACTTTCTAAATAGGTGTCTTTGGTACAATTCTTTCGATCACAGATGACAGACACTGCTGATGGACTTGCAGTGCCAATGTTCAGCATAAACACACGTATTTGACATTCGTTTGAATAATCTAATATTGACATTTATGAAACTTATTAAATGTTTGGTTAGTATATTACTCTGATGTGACTTTTGACAAGTATTTCCGCCAATTTGGATCTTCATCATTCGTTGTCTTGGGTTCAACACTTTAGGCTCTTAGCATCAATAAAGAGTTGTGAATTGACGGAACAACTGTATGATGCATTTGTGTTCATTGTTCGGATCTATCGCATATCATACTACATTTCTGTTGAAAGATGTTTTTCAGTTTTGTGCCTTAATGCCTTTTCTTAAATGTACTAATATCTTACTGAAATAAAAGGAAACGTTTCATCTGTTTCAACGGTATAGAAACATTGTGATAGGTTTAAGTGTGTATGCTGTCAACATACGAGATGATTTCATTGGATCAATATTGAGTATCGGGAGAAGACAAACAATTACCATTGCTTGTCCTTGCCACGATCGTTTAAACAGGTATGTGGAACGGTATGATTAATACAACTAGAAGCTATATTAACAAAACAAATTATTTGGTTAAGGTTCAAAGGAGATAATTGATAATATTACTAACAAATCCCAAGCGGTCATCGGAGGGTCATGTTATACAAACGACATGTCGCACGCAGTAACTTCCGCCTGTTATTCCTCTCTGATCACCTATGTGTACTAACTACTTCCACTTTGACCAATGATATTGTAACTTTGACAATACAAGAAGGACTGGTCTAATTATTATATATAGTTACTGCCAATATTAGCATACATTTCGCTTCAAAATCATTAACCTTTCGTAATTAGACCCTAGGATTGGTTTTTAGCGTTTCTGTCAGGAACGTTGCAATATAACCTAATTAGATTCCGACCGAATAAGTTCCATTCAACAATCTATACAAAAGCGAACAACGAGTGTTATGTTTCTGTCCAAGACTGGTCGTGTTTGTAAGGTTACTACCACTGAACTATCTCGTCTAAAAGATGTAGAATTTTACAAATAGAGCCTTCTAAAATGTTCCTTATAATTGTACAGTTGATATATGATATATATAATTTATATATGTATGTTAATACGTAATCTGAAGTTAATATTGAAGATGTGAGTTTTCGCCTGAATAATACTACTTCTGTATTTGCGCTTAAAATATTTCTACTGGGCTGAAAGGTATTATATTAAGTATTATACATTATAACGACATCCTCCCAAAAAGGATGCTTTGAAGTTTTAAGTTGTTAAACCAAACATTTTTGGAATTTTTCATTGTGAAGCAGAGGGAATATAAATTGACATGAATTTTACAGATGTCTTAAACTATATCTTGAACACAAGCAAAATTAATGAAAGAATATGCTTTGTTAGTCCTGCTCACCAAATAACATCACCAAGTAAAAGGTTTTGACTGATTAACTACTAGGAAACAGTGACATTTTCTCCAAATAAGGATTTTAATCAATTAAAGCGATAAAGACTGACTGATACTTGCAAAACAATACTAATTCTTATGAATAATATGTATTTAATTTGTAAATAATCAAATTTTAACGCCACAGAGTCAAATCTACCTTTCCATTGTTTGACATCAAAAACATTTCTCAGATTATCTGTCAATATGCCGATTGTGAGGGTGGCGGTAATGAGAAGAGGCACTCCTCCTTCTACGCCCATCCTCTCTACATTGGCATTTGATCAACTGCTAGAATCACTACCCGTATAAAATTCTTCTTTACAAAATATGAAAATAGATTTTTTGCACTACCTTTTTCAACATCTATGATTGATTTTCATGCAGAAGTCGTCAACTGACGAAGAAATTCGTAACAGGGTTTCAAAGATATAGGTTCATGAAAATTATGGGGATATTCTGCAGTCGTCATAGTGATTTGATATATTCTATTTCTTTGTGCGAGATGAAGCTGAAAGTGTTTGACGCTCGTTAGTTTGCATGTTAGTTTCGTTGTTGTATACCTCGTTTTCATTTCAGGACCTGACATTAAATACTTAGATTAACCCAAATTTACATGACGGGTGTCGTCGATAAAGCATCTGAACAGATCTACTTACGAGCGTCAGTCACCCAAAATCAAATCATATAAGGAAATATCATATTGTCCTGAGACCATTCCCACCTTCAACATTTGTCGACCTGCATCATTTGAAACCCTGTGATGTGAGTTTGTAAGTTGCCAACATCTTTCACAAAAACTCGTTATACTGAGAACAAGTCATTGAATATCGAGAAACTGCGACATATTAGTACCATAGGTTGAGAATAAACTGCGACATGTTAACACAATAGGTTGAGAATAAACTGAGACATGTTAACACAATAGGTTGAGAATAAACTGCGACCTGTTAACACAATAGGTTGATAATAAACTGCGACATGTTAACACAATAGGTTGATAATAAACTAAGACATGTTAACACAATAGGTTGATAATAAACTGCGACATGTTAACACAATAGGTTGATAATAAACTGCGACATGTTAACACAATAGGTTGATAATAAACTGCGACATGTTAACACCTTAAGTTGAGAATAAACTGTGACATGTTAACACAAAAGGTTGAGAATAAACTGCGACATGTTAACACCAAAGGTTGAGAATAAACTGCGACATGTTAACACAATAGGTTGAGAGACAATTCGTGTATATATATCCCTCGTCATACGACAAGAACGAATATCCAAATTATTTATAAAAAAACTTTTATATGCTAGGATATATCATAAAAAAACGACAGCTTACTTCATGTTTATATAAAAAGCACCATTTGTAACAACTAATAGAAGTATATCATTGTGGCCACCTACGTCACAATTAAACCTATTGAGACTATAAATTGGGCCTATCGGGCGTCTGCTCGTCCTTTGCGCCAGTCTATTCGAACATATTTTGTAAACGTCCCCCATTCTAATTAGTTTTTGTGTTGGTGCATATTGCAATCACCTGAGTCAAGTTGTCAATGTAGTCTGCGAATTGTTACTGTTTGGTAATTGGTTTCTGTAAAGTGACTGCACTAAATATCTCTAATGAAATTTAGTTTGTTTATGTCTGTTACCTGTGTTTGAAAAGAGGTTGGATAGGTGGCGTCTTTTAT